CTGCCCCTCCCCTGCTCGTGCTCTGTCTCTGTCTCTCTCTCTCATAAATAAACATTTAAAAAAATTAAAATGCATCTCATTTGGGGGGTGAAATGGGTGAAGGAGGTCAAAAGGTATAAACTTCTAGTTATATAATAAGTAAGTCATGGGGATGTAATGTACAGGATGGTGACTATGGTTAATAATACAATATTGTATTACCAGAAAGTTGCTGAGAGTACATCTTAAATGTTCTCATCACAAGAAAAAATTGTTGTAACCACTATATGTTGACAGATGTTAACTAGATTTACTGTGGTGATTATTCTGCAATATACACAAATCATTATGTTGTACATCGGAAACTAACATAAAGTTATACGTCAATTATACCTCAATCTTTAAAAATGAGTCATTTAATCTTCGTACAGCTATAAGGTACACGTGGTTTTTTTTTTTTAAAGATTTTACTTATTTACTTTTTAAAGTAATCTCTACACCCAACATGGGGCTCGAACCTACAACCCCAAGATCAAGGTCGCATGCTCAACAACTGAACCAGCCAGGTGTCCGGGCATGGTTTTTTTTTTTTTTTTTTTTTAATTTTTTCACTGTTTATTCATTTCTTTTTTTAAAATTTTTTTGATTTTTTTATTGATTTTTGAGAGAGAGAAAGCACAAGCTTGAGAGGGGCAGAGAGAGAGGGAGACAGGAACCAAAGCAGGCTCCACGCTGACAGCAGGGAGCCCAATGCGGGGCTCAAACTCACTAGTGCTCAGATCACGACCTGAGCTGAAGTCAGACGCTTAGCTGACTGAACCACCAAGGTGCCCCAAATGTTTATTCATTTCTTTCTTTTTTTTTTAATATTTATTTTTGAGAGAGAGAGAGAGACACACACACAAGGCATGAGTCGGAAAGGGGCAGAGAGAGAGGGAGACACAGAATCTGAAGCAGGCTCCAGGCTCCCAGCTGTCAGCACAGAGCCCAATGCGGGACTCAAACTCATGAACTGTGAAATCATGACCTGGGCTGATGTCGGATGCTTAACCGACTGAGCCACCCAGGCAAACCCCACCATGCCGCCACCCCCCCCGCCCCCACCAGGTATGTTTTTTACTCACCAATTATAAGTGAGTAAATGGAGGCAGATATAGACTGACCCAAGACCACACAGCCAATTACTACAGAACCAGGACTCAAATCCAGGTGTGTCTGGGTACAGAGCCCAGGCTGTTAACACCACACTGTGAAGAGGCTCCCCAGCAAAGTTTGGCCCAGGTGGCCTGGGAACTGTCTCTAGGGGGTGCAAGAGGGATTTGGGAGCTTGAGACACAACTCACTCACCCCTCCATGGGGTGCAAGGCAATAGCCCGGGGCTTCTCAAGGTTTTGCCACAGCAGCACCTTCCGATGGGCTCCGTCCAGGTTTGCCACCTCAATCCTTGATGTTCCTGAGTCGGTCCAGTAGAGTTTGTCATGGACCCAATCCACAGCCAGGCCCCCTGACGGAAAGAGGCAGTAGGAAGGGTCAGGGATTCAGCCAGGGCTCCTCTGTGCCACAATAACAAGTGCAAAATCTTGCACAGGGTTTTGGTTAGGTGGTGTTCTAGCCACGTGACATATACTAACTTACATAATCATCACAACAACTCTATGAGCTAGATACTGAAATCCCCATGGAGATGAAGAAATCAAGGTACAGAGAAGTCAAGTAGCTGTCCAAGGTCAGGAATTTCCTCCTCTCAGCCAACCATATTCCACATCCTGAATCCTGGCTCCCTGACCCACACCCACCACACTGGCTCCAGAATTTGCAAACTGTGGCTTAAGGTTTTGCAGAGGCACTCGAGACGTGCCATAAGCATTTGAGTCAAGTGCGCATGGTACCGAATTCTAATCCACTTCACTGGCTTATAGAATGGCCTGAGATTACTGAGTGGGTTCTTGTTTCTTTCTTTCTTTCTTTTTTTATCTGTAAACATTTGGAGGTATCTATGTGGGTCAAGCAGAATATTCTTAATAGTAAGCAATCAAAACAAAATTCTGAATTAAAACAAATGCTAAGACTGAGAGCAAATTGTAACTGTTGTCCATAAATCTCTGATTTCAAATTATTACATTCATCAAAACGTCTCAATAATGAGCAAATGTTATAAACCTGAACCCATAAAATTAATGTATACTAACAAATGTTTTCAATGTTTTCTTTTTTTTTCAAGTTTATTTATTTCTTTTGAGAAAGAGAGAGAGACAATGGGAGAAAGAGAATCCCAACGAGGCTCCCAGCTGTCAGCACATAGCCCAACGCAGGCCTCGAACCCACAAACTGCGAGATCATGACCTGAGCCGAAATCAAGAGTCGGACACTTAACCAACCGAGCCACCAAGGCGCCTCCTAAAAAATGTTTTATATACTAGAATTCCATCCAAGAGTTCACTGGAAGAAAGAGATGTTCTGCTGCCCAAGGTTTACAAGCCATTATCCTGTTCCTTCCCCGGTTACTTTGCACATGGTGTGGCCCTGCCCTTCCCCACAGGGCCTCATTCCCTACCTGGGCTCTCGAGCCCTGTAGACACAACCTCCTCCACGTTGCTGCCGTTGAGGTTGGCACGGAGGATCCGGTCCAGGGTGACGTCTGACCAGAAGACAAGCTCGCGTCGGTGGTGGAAATCAAGGGCAATGGCATTCTCCAGGTTGTTGAGCAGCAATGTGTACTCGGAGCGGTGCGGCAGCACCTGCCGGATGTCGATGCGATTGGCGAACAGCAGCACAGGCTCCGGCCCTGGGACGTGGCATAGAAATGGGGCCACCACTGGGCTCTAGAGCTGCTCCTGACACCCCTCGTCATGCATCCCCAGCTCCTCAGCTGATGAGTGGGGCCCCTTGCCCATGTCCAGAACTGTTGGCATCTGTACTAGAAGAGTAGGAGCCTCCAGAGCATACTCCCCTACCCGCCCCTCCCCAGCAGTTTTTCTTGGGGCTCAGAATGCAATTCACAGCTCCGTTTTACTCAGATGAAAAATCTCTCTACCTCTCAGCAAATGCCCAAGTACTGGAACACCGGGATGTCTCTATGCTCGGCCCTCTGCCCACCTAGCCGAACGCCAACACCCCTTACCCAGAGCCTTGCAGCTGCGCCGGTCGGGCCGGAGCTCGTAGCCTGCTTCACACCAGCACTGGAAGGCCCCTTCGCTGTTGGTGCAGCCCTGGCTGCAATACCCCTCCTCCGCACATTCATTCACATCTGGGAGGACCGAGCAGGGTCAGGAGATCTCCGTTCTGCCATCCTCCCGGACAACCCCCCAGGCTGACTAGTTGCTTCCCGGCCCACATACCCATCTACTTTCCAGGCCTAGTGGGAAGGCTATATAACAAGTGGTTAAGGGCTTTAAGGGCATGGAGACCCGGGCTAGAATCCCAACTCTGCTATCACCGGCTCTGTGGCCATCAGTAAGTTACTTAACCTCTCTGAGCTTCAGTTTCCCCAGCTGTGAAACAGAAGGGACAGTCCCCACCTCCTAGGGTGATGATGAAGCGAGGTTACGTCCGTCAGATGTTTGACCCAGAGGAAACATAACTGCCCGTCCGCTGCCCCTGCCCAGGATCCTGCCCCTGATCCAAACCAGGCCCCAGCTCACCCTGGCACATGTGCCCATCCTCGGTAAGCCGGTAGCCTGTGTGGCAGGTACACTGCACTGCCCCCCGCACCATCTGGCACTTCTGGGCGCAGCCACCGTTGTTAACATTGCAGTTCTCCTCACCCGTCCGGGGCCCTGTGCCAGCCAAGCCAGAGATGGGAGTTGAGCCCAGAATCCTCCCCCAGACAGCCAACTTGGCATTCCACCTGGACCACGAAGAACAGCTCCCGAGGCTGCAAGAATCCCTAGGGAGGATTCTCTTTGAACCACATGGGTGGGGTTCAGCCACACACCAGGGGCCAGGCCCGCCCACCAGGGACACTCACGGCAGTTCTGCTGTGGGCCTTCGTCACTGTTGTCACCACAGTCGTTGACCCCATTGCACAGCTTCCTCTGCCCGATGCAGCGCCCGTTCCAGCACAGGAACTGGTCTGAGGCACACTGGGGGCTTCCTGGAGAGGGAGGGAGGGCCGGCAGGGAGGGAGTGAGAGGCAGGTCACAGCAGGGCAGGGCTTGGGTCAACAAAAGGATGGGAGCCTGTCATTTTCCAGGGTGAGCTGGAGACAGAGGAGACTCAAGGTGGGAGGGTCGGGGTCCAAGGCAGGAAACAGCTCAGACAGGGCTGGCTGAATGTCTACATTCGTTCTCTCCCCCCAGGACACCACAGTGGGATGTTGAGGACGTGGGACAGATTGAGAGTGTGCCTGTGTGTCCAGCACCCAGTGTGGCTAGGGTGGTGGGGGATGTCAGCCATGGAGAATGGTCCCTGCTCTCTAGGGCCAGAGCAACAGGCCATGTATGAGCTAGAACGTGAGAGGCTGCTGCTACTGTGGTCCAGGCCATAAGGCTGCAGAAGGTACACCGGGATTTGACACCGGTAATGAGAAGGGCAGGCAAAATCAGGCCACAGGCAAGATCAGACTAAAGCATCACTGTAGCCCGATGGCAGCAGCAACATCCTCTTTCCACCCCTGTTCTCCAATCCCATCATGGCTTAAAGGGCCTGGGGGTACCCCTGGGGCGCTCCACCTGTGTTCTCACAGTCCTCTTCATCACTGTTGTCTGCACAGTCATCCTCCCCATCACAGCGCCAGGACAGGCGGACGCAGCGACCTGACCGACAGCGGAACTGTTCCGCGGTACACATGGAGGTGGCTGGGCAGAGCAAAGGCCTCATGAAAGGCTGACCCCATTTTGGCCCGAAGCTCCACCCGGCCACCCCAAAATGCATTTTGTGGCAGCATCCACACCAGTCTTCTTGTCACGGTTGTTCTGAATGGCATCTCTGTGCAAGTCAGCAAAAGGCAACCTTTCCTCAAGATGCCTCACCACCATCTGCTAGAAAACTGCCACGATGAATTATATAATTATAGAATAGGTAAGTCTCCCGTGTGACTGGCATCGCTTTGGACATAGCGCCTCTGTGCTGTGCCCAACCCACACCACTGTACAGGACAATCCTGTCCAATCTGTCTTTATCAATGGTGGCCATTTTGGCTCCACAAGCCCTTTCCCTACTTCCAGACCAGACCTTGGACACTGGCCCCACTCACTGCAGTTGCGCTCATCAGACTGGTCGTCACAGTCCGCGTCGCCATCACAGCGCCAGCCTGCGTTGATGCACAGGCCACTGTCACACATGAACTCCCCAGAGCGGCAGGGCTGGTGGGAGGCTGGGGAAACAGGACAGACTTCTGTCTCTAGCCTGTCCATGAACACAGTGTCCATAGCAGAGCAGAAAGCCGGGCCCCCGCACCCGGCTCCTCCCTCTCTGCCTGACAGGGACCAGGGAATCCAGAAACTCCTCCCTTGAGCTCCGGCCCCAGCTGACACCTGTGCCTTACCACCCCAGGAGTTCCTTGGGGCCTGGCCTCCCCCTCCCTCCCAGCTCCGCCCTGCTGGCCTGGCCGGAGCACTCACAGCAGTCGGCCTCGTCAGACCAGTCCCCGCAGTCATCATCACCATCACAGTGGTAGATATCGAGGATGCAGCGGCCGTAAGCACACTGGAACTCCTCCAGGTTGCAGGGAGGCGCTGGCACTGCTGAGGCTGGAAGGCAGGCGTGGGGGACAGGGAGGGGCGCACGCTCAGGCCCAGAGAGAGCTCAGAGGCCCGGACTCCTCCAAGAAGGCAGAAGACGTTCAGGCAAGGGAAGCCGGTTTCACGTGGGACAGCCCTGTGAGACTTCCGTATGCTGCTGGAGCCATGGGGACCCTCCCTCTGCACCTGAGGAATCTGCTCCCACCCTAGCTCAGCCTCGGAGGAACAGTTTCGTAAGAGCCTGCCCTCCTGGCCCACTGCACGTGCACCCCTCTGCCCACGGGATGCTGCCTCCTGCCCCGGCCCGAGTTCTGGGGCCACTCACGACAGCTCTCCTCGTCAGAGCCATCTTTGCAGTCGGTGTCACCATCGCAGTACCAGTGCTCAGCGATGCAGCTTCCGTCACTGCAGCGGAATTCCTTGTCAGAGCACTTGCGCATGTCTGGGGGACGCAATGGGACAGCAATCCTGCGGGAGCCCGACAGGACAGGCCGCCCTCCTAAGATCCTCCCCGACTCCCACCCACACTGCCCCTGTGGGTCTGACCCCATCCCTGGAAGACACCATGGATTTGGTGCAGACGGTCTGGGGAAAGCCGCAGCCCTGGAGACATGGGGCCTTGGGTTCCTGTTCCCCTCGTGGTGGTTCGCAGTGTGTGGGGGGAGGGTCTGGACTGTTCTGCCCCTCCCACCTTCTTCCAGCTGCTCCAGACATCTGGGCAGTTCAAGGTGTGGCAGTGTTAAAGCCACTGCTGCCCTTCAACCCCCCCTCCTCCCGCCCCCGCCATGGCCAGACCACCAGCAGCCATCCTGCCCACCTCCCTGGAGCTCCACTCACCACACTGCTCATCACTGTTGTCCCCACAGTCATTGTCACCATCACAGTGCCACAGGCTCCGGATGCAGTAGCCGTTCTGGCAGGGGAACTCGTCCTCCTCACACTCCCGGGGGGCTGTGGGGTACAGAGCAGTCAGGCTGCTGCAGACAGCGGGGGCCAGGGGCCCAACAGAAAGCCCCACGGACCAGAGCAGTCACTTCTACACCACCCAGAGGGATCTGAAGCAGGTGGCAGTTTCTCAGGCTCATCTAACCAAGAGGGAAGGTGAAAGGAGGGGCAAAGAGCAAAGACCCAGGAAGTGATGTGGGCCTGGGGCATCATTTTCCGATTGAAAATCCCTTCCCAACAGAGCCTGACGGAGCCCGCCTGGTGCCCATCACCAGCACTCACGACAGTCCTGCTCATCTGAGTCGTCTTCACAGTCGTTGTCCCCATCACACACCCAGGAGCGGCGGATGCACTTGCCATTGTCACAGTGAAAATCAAGAGGGGAACAGGTGGGCAGCACTGAGTCCCAGGAAGAGAAGGGAACAGGGAATCTGTCTGAGGCAGGCTCCACTGGGCCAGAAAGCCTTTGCCAACACCCCTTATCCCACATCTCCCCGTGTGAGCCACAGTCCTTCCTCACAGACTCCCATGCCTGATGGAGGAGCTAGGCAGAAACCACAGCTAAGAAGCCAGAGCATTAGCAGGGAACAGCGGCGAGGGATTCACAGGGCAGGGCAGCCCAAGGAACTCAAAACCACTAAGAGAAACATGAGCAAGAAAAAAGAAGTGTATTTTTTTTTCCTCTTGTTAAATGATGATTAACACAGCTGGGCTCAATTTCCAGTTCTAGAACTCATCACTTACCACGCCGAGCAAGTCAGTTACCCTCTCTGAGCCACAGGTTGTCTGACTGTACGATGGGGGTAATTATACTTGGCTCACAGAGGTCTTTTGAGATAATGCACATGACAGTGCTACATGAAAGGTGAGCCAGGTATCATCACAATTAGCTGAACTGGTTAGGGTTAAGGTCCAGGTTGTAGCTTCAATCTTATTAGACTAATTAGCCACCTTCAGACACAGGTGCTACAGCTTGCATCCCTAAACCCAGACAGCTGGCTCAGCAGTGATATTTCTATAGATCTGAGGCAGGAGGCCCTAGCCTGTTGTGCCTATATTACTTACTACACTAGGGGAAAGGAAGGTTTAAAGAGAATATAATATTTCCTAAAACTTATATTATTAAAAAAAGATATGATTATACAGAATACTAACATAAGAAACACAGAAATAATCTGCATCCACGTATAGTATGCACATTAAAAAATGCACAAAAGTACACAAACATATATCCACGTAAATACAGAGATCCATTTAAAGAGACTGCCTATAGTTTCAAGGGTGTTTTATTCCATACTTATCACAAAGTTTGTTTTATTGGACATATATGCATGGAAATACAAGAGGACTGGAGCCCTATATATTGCGAAGAAACCACCCATCTGTCAATATCCGTCACCCTCACAAGAGTCCAATGCTCTGCATCTGATACAGCAAGTGTACAGAACATTCATCAGACACTCATCCCCAGGTCCCTTCCCTCTTCTACTACTTCCCACCACTCCCTGGCTGGGATGGGAGGTGCTTACTACATCCATCCTCATCGCTGTGGTCCCCACAGTCGTTGTCTCCATCACACTGCCACTGGGCGGGGATGCAGGTACACTCGCCGAGGGCACTCACCGCACATGTGAAGTGGCTCCGACCACAAGCACACTCGGGGCTGCTGGCTAGCCCTGTGCAGAGGGGAGAGAAACCAATGAGGGCTCAGCTCCTGCCTAACCACAGCCCATTCTAGAGAGTAGGGGAGCCCCATCTCGGGGCAATGTTACCAAGAGAGCCAAGGGATACCACAGGGATATGCAGACCATACAATCATGCCTTCCCCCTCCTCCAAGACACTAATGGTCAAGAAGACAACCTGTGACCCTAGGTTCATAACGAGTCCATAACGAGTCCATAACGAGTTCATAACGAGTCTCTATGATAGGGCTTTTTGCCCAGTACCCCCAAGAGACAAGAGATGAATGATGCCACTCAGGGAGTTGGTGCCTTTGGGGAAAAGGAGCAGGGGACAGAAAGGGTGATGCTGTGAGACCTTGAGACCCTTCCCTCCAAAGCTAGGTTGAGATATGGACGCTTTTGCATCTGGCCAGGACCAGGCCCTTGGCTGTTAGCCAGGCAGGGCAAGAAATAGTGGAATTAAAATGCCGGAGCCCCTTTTGGAATAGGGAACCCACACAGGGGAACAGGAAGCAACACAGGCTGTTGTGAGTCTCCAGGTCAGAACTCACCTTTAAGGAGGGTGACCAGAAGAAGTGGGGCTCCAGGGGGAGGGGAGCAGTCAGAGCCTTCCCATCTGTGGGACAGGCTACAGCCTAGAGGAAGGATGGCAGAAGCAGCCCCTCCCCCATCCTCAGCAGCACGCAGCTGGCCTTCCCTATTGAGCATCGAGCTATCTGCCTGGCCAAGTCCCATGACCGGCTGCTGTGCCCCCTCCCCAGCGTGCCCAGCAGGATGCCCTGGGATGGCGTGTGAATGGCTCAGTGCCCCTGCTCCAGCCTCAGCTGGAACAAAGGGTTCTGCCAGGGTCACTCTTCCCCCCTCCCCACATTCATCTAACCCGCTGGGCTGCTGCAGCTGGGAAAGAAGGGGGCCACTGCTCATTGCTCATCTCTCCCCCTTGCTTTCTTCTCCCCTTCCTCCCCTTAGCTGGGCCCTGCCCTCAGGCTGTGCGGGAACAGGGAAGGATTTAGGGCCCAGAATGAAAGGGTGTACTGTCATCCACCCCCCCACTCCCCAAAGCAAGGAGAGAGCCCTGGAGCCCTCCCTCTCCACTTCAATCTCCAAGGGTAAGTGTGAGTATAAGGCATGGGTTCCTAACCTGCAGATGGATGGATGGATGGATGGATGGATGGATGGATGGATGGATGGTTGGGTGGGTAGATGGCTGGCATTTGGGACCAGTGAGCTGTTGAAACTATAGGCAAAATGTAGGACCACAGATTTCACCAGATTCTCAAATGAGATCCCTCTGTCCCCCACCGCAAGCTAAGGGAATTGGCTTCCCTAGAAAAGATGCCAGATTTCCTGTGGAAAACGAAGGAATCTGTCTGAGAGGTGCAGCATCTCTTCACAGGAAGGCTTTACTCCAAGCCCAGGGTTCCTATCTGTCCAGGTCTCCCTGCAAGTGCAGAACAGAGGATCCTTCTCCAGGGAAGCACTGACGACCCGGCTACCCCAGTCCCAGCCCCAGCCTCTTGGGCCTATTCTGAAAGCACCGATAAAGGAAGGGGCTTTTTTCACTCAGACCCTGAGCAACTTTTGGAGTGTGACCAGCTCATCACAGCTATAGGCACCACTCTCAGGAACTCTGGCTGGATGAAACCGCAAAGACTAGGTATTCCAAAGGACTCCATTCAGTGGGCCTCCCAACATGTAGATCCCCTGTGCAGGGAGGGGTGGTGAAGAGGAAGGATAAGACTGACTCAGTGGTTCTCAACCAGGGACAGTCTTTCCTCCGGGGGCGGGGGTGGTGGTGGTGGTATTTGGCAATGTGTGGAGACATTTTTGGTTGTCGTGACTGGTGATGCTTCTGGCATCTAGTGGGTAGAAGCCAGGGATGCTGCTAGACAGCCTACAACGTACAGGGCAGGCTCCCGCAACAAAGACATTCTCCAGCCCTGAATGTCAATGGAAGTTAAGGACACAGCAGGGAGCAGAGCCGCCCCACGTGGAGTTCAGGGCAAGGGGGTGAGGACAACAGAGAGGATGAAGGGGCCTGGGGGGAGGGGGAGAGGAGAAAGCCCTGGACCTGGAGCAGACAGACCGGGTTCCACCCACCGGCTGCGTGACCCTGTACAGGTCACTTAGCTCCCCGAGCCTCCGTTTCCTCATTTGTGAAAGGCCACAAGGACTGGACCAGACGATAAATGTGGACGAAGCTACCCTCGTGCCCTGGCACACCAAAGATGCTCAATAAATGCAGGCTGGGGGTGTAGGGTGTGGGAGATGCAGGGACTAGTTTTTTCCAAAGGCCTTGATTTTAAAAACCTGAGCACCGGGATTAGGAGATCAAGAATAGCAGTTTCCAGGGCCACCTGGGTGGCTCAGTCGGTTAAGCAGCCGACTTCCGTCAGGTCATGATCTCCTCGCAGCTTGTGGGTTTGAGCCCTGTGTCGGGTTCTGTGCCAACAGCTCAGAGCCTGGAGCCTGCTTCAGATTCTGTGTCTCTCTCTCTGCCCTCCCCCTGCTCACACTCTGTCTCTCAAGAATAAATAAACATTAAAAAAAAATTTTTTTTTTAAAAGAATAGCACTATCCTGGTGTTGTGTGCACGTCAAAAAGAATACTGAAGGTAGAGTAGCCTTCAGTCCCAGGTCGACTTTTTTTAGGGCCCCACCCCCGCTTTTGGCAGAGTGATAAAAGAAGTCCTGCTTTCTCCCAGCAGACTTCAGGAACAAAGCATTCCATCGGGTGGGCATCAAGTTAGTTGCAGGCAGCTGAAGAGCCAGGACTTCCTGCATGTCAGAGCAACATCTGAACGTCAGCACGTGAAGGTCAGGCAAACCCTTGGCTTGAGCTTTCGTCCGGTAAACAGACACATCACACTCCAGAAAGCCAGCTCTTCTAGAGAACCACTGCCCCTCGGGATCCCCGGAGGTGGAATTCTGCCTTTTCAGTCAAGTCCTGGCTGTGAGCAGAAAGGACAGCTTTTAACCTTTTTCTAAAAAAAGAATGATGAATGAAGAAAGGAAACAAATGGGGGGGGGGGGGTGATGGCATAGGCAGGCTTCACTTTGGAAAGTGTTAAGTTAGAGTACTCAGCTATGCTTCTGGCCTTGAAAGCTGTTTACAGCCACACTCCCTCAGCCTTCAGCCTTTACTCAACAGTGAAAAGATCTTTCCCCAAGTGTTCCCTCCCCTTGATAGGCGAGTCGTCCAGCTTTTGGGATACATGTGAATGTGCTCAAAGGGTCTTCCTGGGAGGTTAACCAAAATCCCATTATGACACCTCACCTCCCTTGCCTCAGTCACCTTACCAACTACTCATTGTTTTCTTATGAAGGAAAGAAGGGAAGCATCCATTTGGTATACCAGGTACAGTGTATCATTGTAGTAAAGAGCACAGATTCTGGAGTCAGAGAGACTAGAGTTCAAATCCTGTTTTCTACCGCCAACTCTACAACTTTGAGTAAGTTGCTTAAGGTCTCTGAGCCTTAGTTTCCTCATCCATAAAATGGGAATCCATGTAAACTGCTTATTAGCACAGGACTTGTACATGACAAAAGCTTCATAATAGTACAAGCATCATTTACTGAGTATGTGTTTACGAGGTGCTCTTCAAATACTTTTCCAGCTGCTTTTCATATGCTACATCATTGAATGCTCTCAACGACCCTGGGAGGTGACACAGAGAAGTCTGCCATTAGGTCACACCGGTACTATGGGTTGATGCCAGCATTCACACCCAGGCAGATTGATCCCAGGGCCTCTGCTCTTAATCACTTCATTACCCTGCCTCCCAATAAGTGGTATCGCTATATGAGAATTTCCAAAACCCTGAGGTCAAAAAGGGGAATTTATAACACTGGGGCGTCTGGATCCCTCTCCTTCACACAATCTCGATTAGCAGATATACAGTGAGTTTATGGATCTCAAAGCAGTGATGTTTCCTTCTGGTTACTGCTCCAGCTAAAGATCAATGTCTCTTGCCCTAAGGTGAAGTGGTGAAACAGGGACAGTCTGGAGCCCTAGCCCTTTGAACCAGTGCCTCAGTGTGGTGCTGGTCCAGAAAGGAACAGAGCTTCTGACCACAAAGAATTGTATTTTGCAGTTATTCTGTAGAGTTTGCAAGCTGCTTTTGCATACTCACTTGCATTCACCCTTAATCATTACAATAACCTTAAGTAGTTACTGCAGGCCCCACTTAAGAGGTGAGGTCATCTGCTTTGGCCAAGGTCATGGGGTAAGTAGAACAGCCAGGATGGCGGCCCCATTCTTACCCTTAGACCAGTATTCTTTTTATAAAATTTTTTTTTTCAACGTTTATTTATTTTTGGGACAGAGAGAGACAGAGCATGAACGGGGGAGGGGCAGAGAGAGAGGGAGACACAGAATCGGAAACAGGCTCCAGGCTCTGAGCCATCAGCCCAGAGCCTGACGCGGGGCTCGAACTCCCGGACCGCGAGATCGTGACCTGGCTGAAGTCGGACGCTTAACCGACTGCGCCACCCAGGCGCCCCTAGACCAGTATTCTTTTAATGTGACCTCAGAATCCAGACTTTCAACAAGCTTCCCAGATGACACCGATGCATACTAAGGTTAGAGAGGCACAGCTCTCCACCATCCCATAGAACACTCAACTGAAGGGGGACCACACCTGTCACTTAGAGGCCCAAAGTGTACAGTGACTATAGACAGCTACAGAGCAGCCTTTTCAAGTTGAACCAGACATGAGAAGGCCGAAGGAGTATCCTGTGAGTGCTGGGATAGGACAGTTACCAGTGGGGGAGAGATTACAACAGAAAGGGAAGAACCATCATTCATAGCAGAGAAGGGTTCTTCTTGTAACACACCAAAGCTCTCCTCTCTCCTCGTGTCCACTGGTGGCAATGGTGAGGACATAAACCTTATTTAATGAAGATAAGTTATTTGAAATGACCCTGAACTACACATCCAGGCCAATCAAGGGACCAATCCACTGATTTCAGCTCCTTGGGCAGTGGTCAGTGTCTCTAACTGAAAGGGATGCCCATGTAGCAAGACAAAAATGGCATCACTAAAAGGAGTCACAGCAAGGGGCCACTTGGAAATCTCACCTCATCCACGAGATACCTGGAACCGGGAGAACTCTGGGTGCCTATAAAACAGCCCCTGTTTCAAAGGGCAGGGCTTATGCAGAAAACATCAGAACCAACACCAAAGAAGGTAAATGGTTGGTAGAAGGAGGCCAGGAAGTGAACCCTATCCTGATGCTGCCCCACCTGGACCCATGCGGCCCCAGATGAATTGAAAGCCCCTGGTCTGTGCTCCAGAGGCCCTTTGTGCCTCCTCTTTTGGTAGCGTTTAGCTCACTGTGGCATCATTGTTTGCTTAACGGACCAGGTGCTCTTCAGTCTCCTAGCAGTTGGAACTGTATAATATGGAGTTTTGTGTTTGTATTCACCATGCATAGTTCAATGCTTGGTATGTAGTAGTTGATCAATACAAATTTGTAGAATGAATGAATGACATGTTCAGCTAGATTCTTGTGAGAGATTGGAGTCAAAGGAAAAGAGAGGCCCAGAATACCAAAAATAAAATAGTTATTTTCTAACTAATCTTTACTGAAGAAAATAGGAATCTTCTTTTTAAGGTGGCATCCTAGTCCTATCCAGGTCAAGTTCACTCCCTTCTCCAACAAGAGTTCCTTTCACTGGTTGTATCGTCAAGCAGTGATACTGACATGTTAGGATTCTACTTAGTTCTGCCCCTAAATCCCTAGAGGCCAGCCAACCTCATCTAGTTTGAAAATCTACCAAGTGAAGTCTTCTCCTAGTGGGCGTCAGACACATGATTACTGGTCCCATCAAGTTCAGCACTCTCTTGCCACTCCTAACGATGGAAAAGAAGTTCTTAATGGTCAGCCTCCAAAGTTATGAGGCAGAGAACATAGCGTTAAGAGCATGGGAACAAAAACTAAGCTAGTTCCTGGCTGTCTGACGCGGGGCATATTATTCAAATCTCTTTATACCTTTCTCACCAGGAAAATCAGGATAAGAATAGCCCCCATCTCACATGGACGTTATAAGAATTAGTTAATTCATAAAAAGCACTTAGCATAATGCCTGGCACGTACTCAGCTCTCAGTAAACCATAGCTCTTGCTATTACTCTGATAGAATTTGACCCACCCAGAACTGTCTCATGCAGCCACCCCATGATTAAGCCCTGCTGTTTCAGGGCTTGAGATGTCTTAAAGCCCTACTGTGGGCCAAGCTACAGGGCCAGCCCCAAAGGTTAAGCTAGAGGTGTGAATGGCCACGGGAAGAGGTGGACAAGAGTACTGTGGCAAGAGTCCTGCATTATTATTGCGCTTCTCTGGAGGAGCTTGAGGCATACAGTATCCTCTACCCTTGCCCCGTTTATCATCAACCGATTCCTAGGAGGCAAGTATAGAAAAGAGCACGCAGAACCTAAATCACAGAGCAATTCAGAAATGGATTGGCTTCCTCTACTGTAACATGGGGGTAGTAACAGTACCAATAGTAGCTGGTTCCTGGGAGATTTAAATGAAATAATACACATGAAGTACACAGTAAGCAGCTATTACTGTTGTTGTTTTCATTGGTAATCCCGTAATCTTCATCTAGATGTCTCCTTTCTCTCAACCCTGTAAAGTAGCTATGATACCAGGCTGTTTCCATCCAGGTCCTCAAAAGTCTACTTACCCTGCCCAGCAGCTCAGTCAACAGATCTCACAAATCCAAAATGTGGCTGTGCTCTGTGAGGGGGCTGCTCAACATATTGCTTTCCTCTACCTCTCAAAACACAAGGCCCACACAAGAACACATGGCTTCACAGGGGCAACAAACCTCATCTCCCCTCCTGGGAGCTTTTTAAAGCCTCCCTCTATCAAAGCACAGAAAAGTAATTCTTTGTGCATTAAGATTACATGAGAAGATGAAGACTGAAAACAGAAAAGTCAATCTGAGATGAAATATAGATAGTCTCAACCCAGATCTTTTTTAATAGCTTGGATAGAAAATATTCCATACTAAGGGGCAGTATGGGTTAGAAGCTTAACAGCTTAGGCTCTGGGTTCAAATCCTGGGTCAGTTACCCACTAGCTGTGTGATATAAACTGCTCTGAGCCTTAGTTTCCTTTCTGTAAGACAGGAACCTATCAGGACCTACCTCATAAGGACACTGTGAGGGGTAAATGTGATAAGACGAGGTCAACACCACAGTGCCAGGGATATAGCAAAAGCTTTTAAGATGTTAAACTACCCCCCAAAGTACCTTTGTAGTATTTAGACCACATGTCCCAGTTTGTGATGTAAAACTGGATTTTACATGTAAAACTGTGGTTACCAGCAATTATTCCCTGAAGAACACAAATTCTTATTTGGGGGAGATACATTTTGGAACCTCTCTGAGGTTACATTTGACTGGCAGATACATTTGACTGCCTCTCTGAGCCTATGGTTGAAATGTCTTGTTTAAAAGGCCTGGTGTGTGGGAGGTTAGGGGGAGTGGAAAGAGGAAAAAGGACCTCCCCTTTCTTATTTGCTAGGCTTATGGATATTATAACCTGGCATCTGTATCTGGTTTCCAGAAGGCTCTAGTCGACCCAACACAGAAACTATCTCTTGTCCTCATCCATACCCAAAAGGTGGTGGCAGTCGGGCTCCCAAGGCTGGGGCCAACTAAGGGAACATTTGGAAAGCTTTCTCCACCCCCGCCCTGCAGTCCTGGCAGGAAATGGAGCTGCTGAGCCTGGAGAGGCACAATTTCCAAGCTTTATTTCATGTGCTAATCAGGTGTCTCTCCCAGTATCCTACTCCTTACCTGCCCGACAGGACACAACACGACACCAAGACAGGGGGAGGGAGGGTCCCTCTCCTCCAAAAAGGCTCTGTCTAGAGCCCGGGAGCTTCCCGGCCCCAGAAAAACCTCTGGTGATAAATTATGCAGCAGCACCTTTGTGTCGCTGCCTCCCAGCCAGATGGGAGGTTTGCTCCCAGTCTTTTGTTTCCGGCTTTGCTCGGAGCTCAGATCCTTGGCTCCGCACAGAGGTGAGGGGGGGAACTCCTGTAGGCCAAGTCAGGGCTTGCAGCAAATCCCAGTGAGGCTTTCCCCAGCTGGGTCTCAGGCGGGGCCTTTCCCTGCCTCACTCCGACCCAAATGCGCAAGGGAATGAGTGTGAGGGACGCCTACAGTCCATCCACTCAGCGATGGGAATGCCTAAGTGCAGTGAAAGAACGAAGTCCTCTCGAAAGGGTGTAAGAGGTGCCCAAGGGCACCGAAGATGTTTCTTTCTTGCTAAATCAAAAATACAGAGCAGAAAATGGAGTCAAACGACTGCCAGGAAGGCCAGTGAATCAGCTCTTCGTAACGGCTGCTCTTGGTTACGGTCAACTTTCCGCAGCCCCCAAAAACATGACATCACTGGCACCAACTTAAAAGGAAGAAACAAAGAGACAACAGGGGTCAAACATTGGGGTGGAGGAGCTGGGGGCTGGGGGCGACTCATGGGCTTGAGACCCACATCAATTATCCCTGCACACTGACAGGATTCCTGATTGAAGACGGTAGTCATGAAGGAAGGCGGCTCTGCAACAGCCCAGCCCCCAAATTGGGGCAATTACTACCTTATGAGCTCTGGGGCCTGACTCCTTTCCCAGGCCAGTGGGAGGGAGAGCCTGGAATTCTAAACTGTTCCAGCTACAAGAGACCTCAGCCAGCACCTCTCGCCCCAGGTCATGGCAACCTTAGAGTGAGGTGCCTGGCCACATCCCTGACCACAGAGCTTTTAACAAGGAAGCTCCCAGAGGAAAACCCCATCTCCTAGGACTTCTCCCAGGAGAACTAAGGTGGAGTGGGCTCCTTGGACTCATGATGTAGCTTAACAGATCTCTTTTCTGGATGTGTGGCAGGAGGGAACTATGCTTAGATTTCATTAGGTTTTCAAGGGGGGGGGGGTAGTGGGAAGAAGGAGCAAGATCTTTAAAAGAGAAAAGCAAAAAACCAGCTGAAATGAAGAGCTAAACTTCATTCCATTTCAGCACACGGCACTGTAGTTAGTGTAATGATTTACCTGTCTCCCATAGTCTAGATGGAAGAACCATCTCTAATCTACTTATGCAGACTTGCTAACAAACAGCTAACGTTTTATCCAAGCCTGTAGAACAGAGCAGTCTGTGCTGAGTGGTTTGAATATACTATTATCTCATTTAATTTTTATAATAGTCTCACATGAAAATGTATTACTACTCCAGTTCTGCCCCCCCCCCCCGCCCCATTTACAGGTAAGAACCCTGAAGTTCGGGGAGATTAAGTGTTTTGCACAGGGTCACCAAGAAGTGTCGAAGCCCAGATTTAAACCTAGGTGTGCCTGGTGCCTGTACTTCTTCGTCACTGAACTATATATGTGGTGATTAAGAATAGTGCTTGGGAAATGTGTGTTTGCTGAATGAATGAACAAATGAATGAGTGCAGAACCCAGTTTAGGAGATGCTCCTGAGTGTATTTCAGAGAAAGAACCTGACCCTGTCAGCTCTAGGCTGGATGGAGGGTGGCAACTACAGACATTCATCAGAGCTATTTATAGGGCTAAACCTGGGCTCTGCCAGCCAACTAGTCAGCAGGAAGTCTTTCCTGGGACACTGAATCCCACCACACTGAGAAGGGGAGAAGAGCTTCCGATGCTGAAGATGAGATGGTAATCCAGACACAGTCTGGGGCCCAGATGCCCCACACCTAGGCAACTGTGGCAAAACTTGTGGCTAGGATTCATCAAGGAAGTTAGAGATTGTGGCTGGAATAGGCTAACAGACCTAGTCACCAAGGGCATGGAACTGTGTCACAATTATGAGTTGTGCCTAATCATTCAAAAAGACAAGTCTTTTTCTTCACATAGTTCCCAAAATTCCCTATTCAAGAAGCCCCTCGTATTGCTCGTCTCTTCCAAGAAGAAACAACATAGCCAATCCTTCCCACTTTTCTTCTTCTTAGGGATCAAGATTAGCAATCAGTAGAGTCAGCAAAGACCTATCAAATACCCTGTCCTCTGTGACCTTCTGTGTTCTTTGCTGGCCCAGACGATGGACATGCCCAACGTGTTCTGTATCAGACACAGCCAGACTGGTTCCCTTGCACCTGTCATTCTTAATACTATGTGCCAGTCCCAAAGATGTCATCCGATATTCAACAGGGGACAGAAGAGGAAATCCAAAATCAGTGACAAGCCAAGCATCTTTCACAAGTCCAATGAGACGAGGGACAAGGTCAACCAAGCACCAGGACAACAGATAGATGGAAGGGAGACCAGTCTCAGCTCTCCTCCTTTGCACTCAACCTCAGAAAGAGTCTTCTATCTACCTAAGCCCCTGGGCAGAATTTTCAGTTTTTTGCTTACGTGGAAGAGACCTCCATAGGAAACATGGTTTCCAGTCTTCCAACGGTGGTAGACTGCCTGAGGCCTCACCTCAACCGTCAGGAGAAAGATACCCAGGGCTATCACCAGCAATCAAATTTCCTTCTAAAATCTATAAAGTTGGAGTGTCAACCCCAACCTGTTTAGCTCAGGCCAAAGACATAAGCTCTAGGAAAAGCCCACAGGACTCGCAGCATCCAAATAAGCGCCTTAAACCTTAGTGTCTTGAATCCACTCCTAGTTGTGGTCATTGACCTACTATAAAACACGGTCTTCTCCCTGAGCCCCTAAACATTGTGTTAGGGACTCTCTTGGTGATATTTCTGGTTGAGCAACTGCTCAGTCTCACTGATGAACCACGAATCTATCCTCTCTCTCCTACCTCCCCCCTTCACCTCCAAGGATGGTTAAGTGTTAGCCTAGGGGAAGTTTAGATCTTCACATCACTGAGTGTCCTTGTGCATGTGCACAGAAAGTCTCCCGCGCTCAGAAGTTTCTGTTAAATTTTTGTCCTTAAAAAGAACCCAAAAGAGTTATGAAGTACCCTCTCGGCCTTTTTCTGTTAAGCATTAAATACACTCAATTTTCCACCCCCATTGTCAGTGCAGATGTAGCATATGCAGTTTTGACAGCTCTGGAGCAATAAAATCCTCTTGGCCAGTCTCAGCCCAGAACCTTCCAGCTCCCCTTTCCCTAGGGCAGAAGGCGACAATCTCCTCTCTGGTTTTGTTGGTATCCGTTTTAGACTTTTTTTTTTTTTTTT